TTTTGATTAAACTCTCAAATCTATTAAGGGTTACATTTAGGGGTTGTTTACCTAAATGCTTACCCGGTAAGCGCTTATCGTTAGGAGTCAACACTATAATTTATTTTCTAGGTAAGATTGTAGTATATCAAAATGGTATCATGTGCAATAGTATATATGGTAAGCACTTACCCGGGTAAGAGTCGTCACCCTCACTTACCCGGTAAGACTCTCTATCCTTATCATGGTTCTTATCAGGGAAGATTCTTGGGTCTTGCCATGTTCGTCCAGTGAGGAAAATTGCCCTGTAAGCACCTACCAGATAAACGTTTAGTAAACGTCCCCTTATACTAAAATCCTAGCCAAGTCCTAGCTTGATTCTTAGAAGTACGAATTTTTAGATTTATCATTTAGAGCAGCGGTGCATGATATAGGGCATGACCGTGATATTCTCAAAATTATATGCCACAAAATAGCCTTTGAGTCCTTGACATTGCCCTTTTTCGATTTTCACCATTCGTTGTTTTGTATCACTTTTTCCAACACTCTACCTTGATACTAAACAATTCTAATACAAAGGTGCCAACAAACTTTATCTTGAACCGAAAAGTACTTTTGTTGATGTCAAAACGACACCAAGTTCAAACTCCGTCTCAAATATCCTTGATGGATATTAAATCAAAAGCGACCAAAATCTTCAAATGCTCCGAATGAGAAGTGATCTCTCCAAACAAGTGTTATGACATTCAATGCACTCAAAACGAGTGTTGTATTCTTCAAAGAAAAAACACTCCAAATGACAATAAAACAAATTTGTACAAAAGATAGTGATGTGACTACATTTGTTCGATTAGAATGCTTAGCAACACAAAACAAAAATCAATAATCACACCAAACCTTCCCAAAACTTAAACATCACAACGATTTTCAAAATGTCGAAGATATGACACCAAATCAACCTTTGTTGATAAATCCATGAATAGTTTTAAACCTTCAAAAAAATACAAGAGACTAGATTCCTGTGAAAACCTTCATAAGAACCTCCTACTATGAAGTGACCTATAAAGATCTCATGAACAACCAAAAAAACAACCATTGTGGATGGGATGCACAAAAATCCCAAAAATCCGACCCGACTCCCCCCTCTTAAAAGATCCAACCCAAGGTAAGTCGAGACTTAGAGGCCGTTTACCTAAATGTTTATCCGGTAAGTGTTTATCGATAAGATTCAACATTATAATTTATTTTGAAACGTAAGATTTTAGTACATCAAAACATATCGAGTGTAACAAGTTACTGGGTAAGTGCTTACTTGGGTAAGAGTCGTCATCCTTACTTACCGGGTAAGACTCTCTATCCTTTTCATTGCTCTTACCCGGTGTATTCTTGGCCCTTTTCTTGCTCATCCGATAAGGAAATTTATTCAGTAAGCATTACCAAGTAAGTGTTTAGTAAACGGCCCCTTAATTGATATAAATTGACATCAATCCGCAAATATTGGAGTTAGATTCTCACAAAAGAAACCGACCTAACCTTACCAATTTATCCTCCTTTTAGCCTTGTGTCAATGAGCATTAGCTCAGTGGCCACGACTTTGTGCATTTTTTACGTATCCCATATGACTGATGTTTTTATTTATTTAGTTATTCTTTATTCTTAATAACTTTGTATAAGGCTTTGACTAAAATTGAGTTCGAGCCCTGTAAGGGGAGTGTTGGCGACATTTAAGTGGGGCCATGTTTAGCCTCCAAAATTACCGGGGATTAGTCGGGCTTTGGCCCGGACACCCTTAAAAAAAATAATTAAGTTAAATTGTTTAAATATTTTCAAATCTGGTCAAACCAATTTATATACACTCTTAAATGTGGATGATCTAATTAGAAAATTTAGAAGCTTCTAGAAGTCAATTAATTAAAGATTGAAAGAGTTTGCATCTTATAATTCTCTACAACAATTTTATAAATTTCAGTAATATATAATTACGATAAAATCACACCGTCTAATTAATTAAATTGGATGGTAGGGGAACATGATCAACAACCACCATCCAGCCCAACTACCAAGGACCGGTTCCGAGAGTTCAGATTTGTTAAGAAGTGGTTGTAATTGAAATATAACCGATTAAAAATGATCGATACAGGGATTGGTTGGGACCCACCAGTTAAGAAATATTCTAGCCAACCGGTTACAGAGCAACAAGCCTCCAAATTCGAGTTACTCAAACTGGCTAAATGACCGGTTAACGGAACCATAGATTCCATTTCTTAAATTTTTTTGACACATGGTGAGCTCTCATTAATCAATAGATTTACCGTGATCAAACCATTTTCTTACTTCTTTTTCTCGAATTTGACCTTTTTAATTTCATTTTATTTCTACCAAAATTTCATTCCTATAACTACCATTTTGTCAATTGATCAAATAGTTTTAAACCATTTTCTTGTTTCTTTTTTCTCAACTAAGGTTGTACAAAAAACTGTCTAACTTGTGAAACCCGTCTAACCCAAACCGTTAACAACCCAATTAAACCCAGTCCACATAACCGCCAAACCGCCAATTAGGAGGGTTGAAATTAGGCCCAACCCGCCACTAATATATTATTTTTATATATATGTTTATTATGTATATATATATATATATATGTATGTATATTAATAATGTATAAATTTTATATAATTTTTATTGATATTATGTTTGTATTTCATTTTAGCTAAACGTATAGGTTACCAAAAGATATTCACGATCAAAGAATGACGACAAATAATCTAATTAATAAGAGAAAATTATTGAAATTTTTTTTGCAGCAAAAATAAATTGATATGTCGGTGAATATGAATAATATTGATAGATAATTGGTTGACGAATTCATCTATCTAAATCCCACGTCATTCTTATGTTGTATTTTAATGGAAATAAAATACTTAGTTATAACATTTCGCTACAACAACGTTAGATCTTATAGGATGCCTAAAATGTCTAAACGTGCTAATATGATACTTTATAGGACGAAACAAGAAAAATGTCTTATCTAAAAGAGTTACAATATATTTATAACCTTTTTAGATAAGACGTTTTATAATATGGTCTATAAACTTAAGTTTTATGAATTATTTTATTCCTCATATTTATGTAAGTACTAACCCGCTAACCCAACGTAACCCGCCTCAACCCGCAAGGGTTAGGTTGGGTTATACTTTTGAATGAGTTGGCTTGAGTTGAGATTTTTCCAAACCGTCATAATTGGATTGAGTTGTAAAAATATTGTAAATCGTCCAATCCAACTCGCATACACCCCAATTCTCTACTTTAACCATTTTATATTTTTTAATTTACCAAAATATCATTCCCTTAATGACCACTTTTGTCAATGTTTTTATCTAACATTTTGTCATTTAATTTATGTAAAAATAGGATTGTTATGCATTTTTTTTTCTCTCTATAGTTTATAATTTGTGATTTTCATATACTTTTATTTCGAATTTATTTTGTATTATAAATTTTTAGGTTTCTGATTTAAATTAAGAAATAGTCTCATACAATTTCAACTCTTAAGCAGGTGGTTCTTAAACTGGTACTTCTCAAACAACGTAATTGCTTCCTAAGTTTGTTATAAGTCATTATCGACCATAACTGGAAAGCACAAATGCAGATAACTATGATTGGATACAAGATATACAATCACCTGAGGTCGAACTTCCCATGTTGGTTATGACATTGGCATTGAAAAAGGAATTTTTTAATATTCAAGAACTACACTAACGAACAACGACAATGATTAACAAAGGTATTGAAACTGAAGAAGATAATTGAAGACGTCGATTTTTGGGGGGATCATGATTTTCTAATAAGTTAGTATCTATGATTTTCAAACAATTTGTACAAGTTTTAGAAGACTAGTTGTGTACACGTACAATGCAGTAGATCGTAATATCTAATTGAAAATCGACAATGGAAAATTAATGCGGTCACTTACTAAAAAATAATTTTCGAAATTTATGTTTGAATAACATCGAATTTATAAATGGTAGTTGAACACGTCTTAATAATTTGAAAACTGACTAAAACCCCAAAAAACAATATACTGGTATAATGATATTGATATCAGATTAATGATTATAAAACAACAATTGTATCAATATATACATTGTTTAGTAATAACCCGTTTAAATTTTAACTAAAATAGCCCAACTATTTTTGTTTTAAATTCTTTCGGCCCATTTGAAGGTCCAACAACCACAAGCCCAGCTTCAGAAACCACTTTGGCAGTTCGGCTTGGCCTAGAGATGGCTAAATGGGCTCTGCCCGGTGAAGGACCTCGACCATGACTGATTTGGGACCGGTTACATTTATCGCTAAAAAAGAAGGCCCGATCCGAGATTGGTTTGGGACCGATGCGGGGATTTTTCAAAAAATATTATCGATATCCAACAACCATATGATATTTCTTTTATCCAATTTACCTTTTAGTCATTATATGTAAGTCATATAATGTATGAGGATAGATACTGTTTAGAGAAAGATCATATTAAAAAAATATCAGCCTCACTTGGTTTTAGTCACATCGAATGCCTCACTTGGTTTTAGTCACATCGAAAATCTGGCATAGGTACATAAATCCAGAAACGGAGTTGGGACTATCATTTTGTCGGTATTAAATATCTAAAACAAAAAAGAATTAAGGGGCCATTTACCAAACGCTTACCCGAGTAAGCACTTACCAAGTAACATTACCTCACCGGATGAATATAGTAAAAACCAAGAATCTTACCCGATAAGAGCGAGACAAGGATCAAAAGTCTTACCTGGTAAGTGAGGACAACGACTCTTACCACGGTAAGACGCTTTCCAGGTAAATTATTGTATATTATGTCGTTTTGGTGGACTAAAATCTTACCCGGTAAATACATAATAATGTTAAATTTTACCGGTAAACACTTATCAGATAAATATTTGATAAACAGCCCCTAAGAAACTAAAAAGACACAGAGATAAAGATGTGTACGAATTTTTAATTAATCAAAAGTATAAATAAATGATTTCATTAAACAAAGACTGACTCCTCTCTATCTATATTACCAAACTACCCCAACCTCAAACTTTTCTTAATTAATTAATTAATAATTAATTCACATTTCTCGCAAACTCCAAACCCAAACCCAAACCCAAACCCAAACCCAAACCTTAACCTTGCACGCTGTTGTGTGTTATAGATCCCACCCATCCTTCCTCCTCTTGAATTCCACCTTTCTATCAGATAACCCTCCGTACAACTCCGTAAACTTCTCTAAGCATTTGCTTCGCAACTCATAATGCGATTGCGTATTTTCGCTAATCGCCACACCCGACAACTTTGATGTATCGAAAGCCCAAGCGGGCCTCACATACTCGACGCTCGGCCCCCAAGAAGTCGCGTTTGCATACAAGAAGTTCATCAACACATCCTCGCAGTTGAACAACTCGTCCACCACTTTCCTCCCCGCCTTTGCTTCCTCGCCCCAATACCTACTAAACGCCATTCGGTGATCCATGAATGCCGCACCCGTCAGTATCATGTTATACCCATTCCATTTACGGGCGTGTTTCTCCGCTCGGTACTTCAACGGTCCTGGCCCGTTAACGAGCCGTGGATAAAAGCCGACCAGCCGCTCGGGATTCTCCCGCCACACCTTGAATCCACGCTCGATGTAGTCACAACTCATCATGATGTCGTCGTCTAGCTCGAGAACGGCCTTGGTTTTAATCAACGGATCGATTTTGAACCGGTTGTTCAACGAGTTCTTTTCCTCGACACGGATTCTCACCGGGACGGCTGAGTGGAACTCGGTTGGATCCGGAGGCGTCCCTTTGTTCCAGATCACGACAATTTCACGGACCGACGGACATTGAGAGTAATGTTGTACGTACCATTTCAAGTTCCACAATCGGGCATCGTAAGTCATCGCTAGCAACGTAAACTGAGAGTAATGGTTGTCAACGACATATGGTTCTCGACCACCGCTTCCACCAAATATGTATCCTATTCCGACACACATTAGCACGATCGAACCCATCAAGATGACCACAAATGCAAACCGACCAAGGCTCGTTTTTGGGTTCATCTTGCACCGAAGAACAGAACTCAGCCGATTCAACCGGCTACAGTACTGCCGTAGCTTAGACGACAACAAGTTCGATCTCTCCCAAACCAAAAAGGCGTCACTTCTCTTCTTTATATTATGTGGGCACCAACTAAGCGGAACAATGCACCTCACGAACCCAAGCAGCATGCCCATTAGGAAAACAAGTGAACCAGCAGCGACGATCAAAACACACCCAACGATATACCGGCGTGACAAGTCCCCAGATGGGGTACGATCACCATCCGAAACCGCAATCCACTGTCCAGACCTTAGTTGTTGCACGTCGAGATGATGTGACCGAGCCCCATTCCAAGCATTTCTACCTTTCGTCGGCTTCTCAAACCCCAAATCAACTTCAGTTTCTCGGAACTTATAAGGGGTAAGAACTTCAATCTTGAACACACGAACTCGTTTACCATAAGTTTCACCATCATCTTGACCTAACCGATACACATTCCCATTGTAAACAAAGGGTCTACCTCCGTTTCTGGCTCCTGAGTTCTTGTCGGTGTTGTAAACCGGGTTTTTCTTATGCGGTTTCCACGGACCAAGAGGCGTGTTGCTATACCAAAGTTCAAGCTCGCCGTTCTTTTTCGTACCAATCCGGCTATGATCCGAACCAAAAAGCCAATATCTTGATTCATATTTCATAATGAACGAATCGATAAGAGGCCGTTTCAAGATGATCTTTTCGAGTTTCCACTTCAGCGGAAACTCAACTGCTCGATAAAGGCGAAGATCTCCCTTTTTACTACCTTCGGGCATCATGTAAATCTGCAGAAAATTACGTAATTATGTTAAGAACCGATGAATCAAAACCACACGAATTCATCGATCATCGATCGTACATACCTGACCATCATAATCGAATACGTATGGATACGAAAGATGCCAATCTTCATCTAATGCGATTCCCATTTGTTCCCATGATGCTCCATTGTCTATGCTCCTTGCAACTCCGATATCTCCTTGCATGGTGATCGAGTTCTTGGTCTCGAAGAACAGGAACAGAGTATCTCCCTGCAAAATTTTGACTTTCAAAGGTCAAACATAATATTTGATTCCATTAAATTAAATTAAATTAAATTTTCGGAAAACCATTAACTTCATAAAACTACAAGCAACACCCATATAAATTCCACGCATCTTCCTTTTTTTTTATTTTATCAACAAATTTCAACAATTACCATTTACATAAACAATTTATTTATATTTTAACCAAGACCAAAAAATTTAAAATAGCAAATCAATTAATAACTTATTATATTTCAAGAAAGAAATATTAATTAAATTAAATAAAATAAAAATGGAAAAACTGCATCACCTTTCTTATGGGCAAAAGGATAAAGTAGGTGAAGAAAGAGGTGAAAGTGAAAAGAGGAGGGTTAGCAGTAGAAGCAAAGATGCCTAACAAATTTAGTACATATAACCCTTGCAAAATTTGGCTTTTCTTCTTCGTCAGTTATGGCGTTTTACAGCACTAGAAAAGGCAAATTCGAATATGGTATAGAAATTTCACCTCAACATACAGAAAAGGGTCGGCAACGAAATTACTTGGAAACCCAGAATCAGTAACCGATCCACAGGTCACAATCGGATTAGCAACGGGCCATGCTGCACTCGTGTTCTCCCAAATATTCATCTGCACAACCAAAAATCAGTTTCAGGAATCTCAATTGTTCTTCACAATTCAATCAAAAACCCTAACACTTACGGCTTCGATGGGTTTAAGCGAAAACGGTGAATCCCCATAGAAGACTCCAATTCCCCACGAGCCCTCACTGTCTTCTTCACAACCCAGTGAGTTGTTATTCACGATTGGGTTCTTATACACCATATATGTATACAAAAATCCAATTGAACTCAACACCATAAACGACCCCAACAGAAAAGACAGAGTAGATGAAACGCCGCCATTATCGTGCACGCGCCACCACCGAAGGCGGTGGGTTTTCTCGGTAGTTCCGCCGATGGTTTGTCCCGATACCATTTCGCCGGACGATTTAAGTTACAGAAAAGGTGGCGGAAAACAATATCAATTCGCCGCTGGAAAACAGAGCATTTTTTCTATGTGGTTTTGAAGTTAAAATCAAAATCAAAAGCAAAAAAAGGGGTATTGAGATTATATATAGAAATGATTGAAAGGGTGGTTTTGATTTGTGTCTGAAAGTAGAGAGAAAAGGTGGAAGAGAAGAGGCAGTGGGTGTAATAGTTATAGAGGGTTGGAAACGTGGCTGCGTGCGTGTATTTGTTGACGAGTTTGTTTGAATTTACAGGTTTGACGAAGACGGAGAATAAAAGTTTGAGGGATTTTTCACTTCCACCGTTGGATTACAATAATTTTACAAATTCAATCCCTGCACATTGATTTCAATTAAAATGATGGTTATATATATATATATATATATATATATGTATATATATGTATATATAT